TCTCTCTCTCTCTCTCTCTCTCTCTCTCTCTCTCTCTCTCTCTCTCACACACACACACACACACACACACACACACACACACACACACACAGAAACTATGCTGAAATAATTGAGAAGTCCACAATACCAAATATCCATTTAAAAATGAAACAACTCTAGTTTAACCAGAACTACTCACTGAGTGTCTCTCCTGTGCCCACAGTTTTCCTGCATGTAACAATGCTGGCTGGTATCCTTGTTTCTGGGCAGACTGCTAAGGCTCAGGAGGTCAAGTTGCCCGCTCAGGGTCAGATGGCCAGGGGCCAGTACTCAAAGCCTCCAGCCTCCTCTCTCTTAGCGCTGCACCCCCCACCCCCCCCACCCCCCACCCCCCCCACGCTTCTGCTCTACCTGAAATCTTAATCCTCGTTTTTTATTCTTTCCTATGTGGATAGACAGCATCGAGGAGGCACTAGACGGGATAAAACTCAGGCTTGGCAGAGGGGGTGGGACAGAGTCCATTTGTTTCCATATGGGTTTCCCTGACACTGTGACCTTTATCAAGTTCTTTCACCTCTTAGGGAGTAAAAGTGGGAGTCTTCCTTAGAAGGGAGTAGAAGGCGCAGCTCTTTCATGGAGAGATGAAGGGCCCTCCCTACTTGTCACAGGGATAGATAACACAGAACCTGCAGATTCCCACGTAAAAACATCAGGCTCAACCAAAGAACATGCACATCATCCTTCAGGCCTCCCCTCTATGAGCTCTGTGCATGGTAGCTTACTTTTTAACCTCTCCAGGCATGGAATAAGCAGCTCAGACCTCACAAGGCAGATGATGGAATAATGAACTCAGCATCCACCACTCCAGCGAACCCATGCCTCTCTCAGATTGGGCCACACCAGCATGCAGCAGCACCAGCGTAAATATCCCTAGTCCTACTTTCCATTTCTTCCTCTCCTCCAAGCCCCATATCCAATCTATCAGCAAGTCCTGTCTCCTGGATGTACTCACGTCTCTCTAGAGCCATTATTTCCTCCCCCATCCCAGTGGGTCTCACTGCTAATGCAGGCTGGCCTCAAACTTGGGACTGGTTGGCCTCAGCCTCCTGAGTGCCAAGACCGGTGACAGGGGCCACTGCACCTGACTTCTAATGCCATTTATAACTTTTTCCCAGGTTCCCTTTTCAGGATATTTGATCACACTGTGTGAAGATGCGTCTGTCCTTCCTCGAAACCTGCCTAAGGCACCTTCTGATTGGTTTAATAAAGAGCTGTATGGCCAATAGTTAGGCAAGAGAGGCTAGGCGAGACTTCTGGGGAGAGAGAGGAACTGGAGGGAAGAATCTGAGAGGTGGAGATTCACCAGTAAGACACAGAGGAAGTTGGACGGACTGTACTGAGAAGAGGTAACGAGCCACCTGGCAGAATGTAGATTGATATAAACCAGTTAATTTGAGCTCCCTCCCCCCCAGACAGGGTTTCTCTGTGTAAGTTTTGGTGCCTGTCCTGGCTCTCACTCTGTAGACCAGGCTGGCCTCGAACTCACAGAGATCTGCCTGACTCTGCCTCCCAAGTGCTGGGATTAAAGGCGTTAGCCACCGCCACCACCACCGCCGCCCAGGTAATTTGAGTTTTAAGAGCTAGTTGTTAACGAGCCTAAGCTAAGGCCAAGCTTTCACACTTAATAAGAAGTCCTTGTGTCATTATTCGGGAGCTGGCACTCCAAAGAAAGACCTGTTGTACCTTTTTATTTTCTCTCCTGAGCCATGCAGTAATCTTCTTTCATACTCTTCCATTCCTGTTATCCTAGAAGCCAGTTTCCATTAGTAGCAAGACTGTACGTATCACTTTTCATATTTAAAATGCCACATTCTCTAAAGATTCTTGCATGATTTTGATGTTTATATACACAGACCCAAGGGGTTGGTGGTAGGTTCACAGGCTCTATGGTTTGGGATAGCGGAAAATCTCATCCTTAGTTTTACAAACTCTAACTGCAGTTGAGTTATGCAGACAGTTCAGTGTTGTTACCAGTGCTTGTCACCCCCAAAGCCACAGATATTTCATATCACATCACAACTGTCGCAGGTAGTTTGAAATATTGCTATTTCAAAGATAATTACTTGGTCTGCCACAAAATGTATTAATGAAGAGGAATTTGCCTTTCGCTGCATCACTGCCTTTTAAATATTTTGATAACTACATTCTAATGTAATTCATTTCCTTCACATTCTTATGGAATCAGTCTTACGCAGTTAAAAATACAAGGCTCCAACAGACAGCCAAAGTGTCCGTGAAGAAGTTCAAGCATCTCCAATCTAGCTGCATTTCTCTTGGGGCCTTTGGAGTGGCTGCCCCTCTGCTTGGCACTCTATGTCTGCTCCTCCTCACAGACGGGCTTTCACTTACAGCTCCTGTTCTCAGGACTCCCCAGATCTCCACACACACCTCCGCTCCAACCATTCTGTACCAGGAGC